AATAATGCAAAATTGCTAGTAAATTGTATGATGAACTAAAAGTAAAAGAAAGCAAAATATAACAGTTTAGACACTTGAGTTGGAGCAAACTCATTTCAATTTGAAAATTTGATTTTTTGCAAAAATGCATTCAGAAAACTGCCAATACCATTTTTGGTGGTAATTTTTCTGATAATGAAGCTATTTACATGGGATGATCCGAAAGCACAGGCACATTTTCTTATCTGAGGACTTTATAGACAATTAATAGACTGTAAGTTAGGTAAGTAAGCAAGTCCTAGAAGCCCAGTAATTAAATACAATTGAGGAAAAGTTTTGATAAATGTAAAAAGTTACATCTTATACAAAATGATCTCAAGTCAAATTTGCTATAGTAGAACGCAACAGAGGACAGTCCCTAAGGAAATCAAAAGTACAAAGACGAAATTGGGAAAATAATGAATAAATACAGCACGCCAAAAGTTTCGAAGAAATGTGTGCATTAGCTGATTATTTAGCTAAAGTGCCACTTTCAGTACCTTATAACATATTCCGTTACAGTTTGCACTTATTTGGGTTAATTTTAGTTAGATTGTTGAACGACAGGCCTCTAATTAGCACTCAAACAACTTAATGGTGATAAGTGCACTAGACAGATGCAATACTTGAAACAAACATGAAATCAGCAGTAATAAGTTAAGAAGCCTACAATCTATTGGCTGATTTGCGAATGCTGCAAATTTAATTGAAGTCAAGTATTTTTTACTCAATGGATAATTAGAAAATGTCGGAAATTGTATGAATAATGTATTAATGCGCGCTAATCAGCAAGAATTGATTTCTTCACCGCTTTCTTGCAACTTTGAAAACTTATTACTAATAAGTACTTATAACTAGGACATAATGAAAAGTGATTTTAACGCATTTCGCAAACTGTGATTGGGCGAATTATTTTTTCATAACATGCACATATTTACGTGCATGCCAATTTTACTGAGTTTTCCCTTAATGAGAAAGCAAGGACAGTACATTGAGTTAGCAAGTAAGTCAAATGATAGATTGATGCGGAACGGTTTTAGCAATTAAATAAGTTTCTTTGTATCATTCGCATTGCTCTGTTAAATCAATAATCAAATGATCAAATTTAAAAAAAATCTTACCTGGCATCGGAGTGAAATAGACAACTGTTAACACTGCCGCCACCATCCCTAAGACTATACATAATCGGATCAAAAGACTTTGACTAGCTGACATGTTGATTTCCTTTCTATTGTTGTTTTTTTCTTCACTTTCCACCATACCAAAATCAGTGTCTTACAAAATCGAAAATATTCAGGGCACTTGCACAAGGCAAAAATTTCAAGCATACAAAATGCCTTTGAGGAAAAGTGACATACTGTCTTAGTGAGTCGCTCTAAGGCCAGCTAAGAAGAGTGGTGCATGTTAATGACAAAACGTACGACACTGAGTGCTTCTAATGGTAAGGTTTTGCACTCGTGCGTGCACTAAGCTTGCAAACCCAACCAGCGACCGTAGGAAATGTTATGAAAGAAGAAAGGTGGAAGGAGTCAACCAAGAAAGAGCATTACGACAAACCATCAGGAGTGATTTGTGCCAAAAATACGGGGGGGGCTTTATTGAAGTTTATTAATGCCAATGGAATTGAAGAATTCCAGACAGAATTCCGACCTGATTGCAAGCTTTTATTCGAACTATTTTTAAAGCCCCAGTCCACAGTAATATTAAAGAGCATTTGAAAGGATTTTTAACATGACTTAAGTGGCATTCAACATTTTTATAGAAGACGATTTAAGAATATGATTCTCAGAGCGAGAGCGGGAAAACATTCTTTCGCTAGATAGATTTTTTCAAATGTCTTTTGCCCGGAACATCTAGTTTCACTTCAACATAATTTCTTTGCAGCAATGCAATTTACAATCGAAACAATTAAATACTGAAATTAGAGCAGATTCAATTAAATTGCTTTCTGCAAACAAACATAAAGCAAATCAGCATGAGCAACCGACAGAAAGCAGCAATAAATTACACTGCAAACAGGTTGCAGTTTTACACTACAAACTGTTGACCAACATCCAACTATTTCAATCCCCTCGTAGAAATTAGTGTATTATATAATCCATAACGCGAAGCCATAAATGCAGACCTGACCCGCGGAGTAAAAGGGAAAGTCCATTTTTATCGGCTTAAGAATGAACATGTAGATACCTCAAGAGCCGGAAGCTGTTATCAATACTGACTGTTAAAAATTTAATTTAGAAAAATCCAGGAAATTTTCTTACCTTTTTGCTTGTACTGGATGAATACTCAACTTGAGTATGGACAGTGTATTTTTTTTTTATTTTTAGGTCTTGAACTGACCACGGCATGTAGAAAATAAATCTCTAGTAATTAATGTTTTAAAGCTAACATTTTCCAAAACTACTACTCTTGTTAAATGTTATTTTCAAGAGATTTAAGCGTACATAAAAAAGTACAAGCTTCATTAATCGCAATTGAATTATCTATGGGGACAAGAAGAAAGTTTAGCTGAAAGCGATTCAAATAGCTTTTTTCCATGTTTTATGGCGCCAGTTAACACTGTAACAATTACCAAGATTTTAAAATTCTTTGGACAGTAATGCGTAAATGCCCCATAATAATTTAACTAAAATCTTCTCAGTAAAAGCTATTTAGGACACACGTAATTAATAGCACAGCATTCAAATGGCCAAAGAAATACAATAATTTCAAGTCACATTTCATGCTGTGTTGCTGGTTTCGTTTAGCAACTCTCTTTAGAAATTGAAATGTAAATAACCATCAAACCATCTGTAAAACATGTTTCGTTTTAGCGTCTCTCAGATTTAATCAGTTAGGTTTATTTGACTCTGATACTTCATCAATTTGAAAACCTGACCTGAAGAAGAAAGCATGGTTGAGTTTTTTGGGTCCAATAGAAATCCTGCGTTTTTTCTCAATACTTTTCACTCAGGAATTTGATTGCTTATCATTGAGGATGTCAATTAATCATTGGCTTTAAAAATGCAACATTAAACTTGGATAGCCATTAACAAGTGGATTATGTAGAATTTTTATCTCCTAAACGCTTTTCAGCAAATGAATCACATTTAAGAGCATTTAATGAATAATTCATGAACGCCCAACAGAGGCTGAAATTAACTTAAATGCCTGAAGGATTTACATTGTTTTTCCGACAAGATTCGGTGATTTGTGAATAAAAACAAATCAGCTGAAAAAATCAATATTCCTATTTCAACGTGTTTTTAATGGTAATCTAATGACCAACAATTTTTCCTTCAACTGTGTATTACAACGGGTCTATTTTCCAATCACCTAGCAGGAATTGGAAACCATTAGATACTGATTTATTGCTGCAAATTTTAAAAGGAACTGAAAATTTGTATGAAAATGTGAAAAATTATGTACTAAGTATTGGCGATATTATGCCGACTTTTAGAAAGCTCACTATATTTTCTCATCAGTTGATTAATGTGGCAAGCGCTGACTTAGTAAATTAAAATTGAAGCGTTGAACAAACGCAACTGATTTTGATCACTTTCAACGAAAAAAATGTTGTTTGCAGTTTTTTCAAATGCGGATTTAATCTCGCTAATTACGAAAGTTTTTATCTTTTCCTTCTTTTTAAGCCGCAAATTAATAAATTGTTTATTTAATTTGCAAATAATTTGCAAAAAAGTTCTTACATTTCAACAACAATACAAATTAAATGTTAGCAAACTTTTCGAAACAACAAAAGATTCTCAAAAGCAGAAAACACACAATCACGTGAAAAGCGAAATTTTTAAACCCACTTTTCCATGAAATAATGGTGTTTGTAAATTCAATTTAATGACCAAATATGCACGTGATTCGGCCAAAGAAGGTAACTTGCTATACAATCTGGCTTTTCTCTGCTCTTGTGCTCCACTGACCTCTTTCGTGGTGTTTCGCGATTAAATTTTATAAAAATGGAAATATTCAACCGTAGGAAAATACCGAAGCATCACGAATATGCAATTTGTGCGATTTCACATCTCCGTTCTATTCCAAGACAATTAATGCATCGCTCATCCAGTAGAAAAAAGGGTGGCAAGCAAGGTTGAGCTTACATGATTAATAATCAAATCGTTAGCAATAAACCAGGAAAAAATTATTGTGCCACATGGATTGCACAGTAAGCGTCATTCATCAGAGCGAAAGAAACAATAAGAAGAATACGCTCGAAAGCCAAACTTTCTTGGAAAATGAAAGTTAAAAAGAAACAAACAAGATGATCGGCAGCTACACACGTGCAAACATAAAACAAGATGTTGGATCAGACCCAGATTCCATTCAGTACTGTACGGTATATTTTTACTGTATTAAAAAATAATTTAATTTGGTCTTGAAACTCGTGTGGTTTTTTTGTCTTTGAGACCAGGAAAAAATTCTATTCCACGACTAGTTTCAAACAATGACTGCAAAAATATAACTTGTTAAATGTGCTTTCTTAATTCAATATAAAATTTCAACATAAAAAACCGACATTAGTTTTCTAATGATGCGTTTTTTCCTTGATTTCTCATGTGCCACAGATACAGTCTATATTACTACATTTCCAAAAAAACTCTTTCAAAGTTTAACCATATTAAAAACGTATTTTATATTTTATTTTTTTAACTCTCTGAATGAATTAGACAATTCAACTTTTGTAAAATAAACAACGGTTTCCATGATAAGAACATTGAGAAGAAAATACATCGTGATTATTTAAAATAGCGAATCATCAACACATTCAATAATTCCTCTCGAAGATGCAGACTTTGTTTGATTACCTACATTTTTATCTCTTGTGAAGGAAGGAAAGCAGATTTGAACAAAAAAATAGTTTTTGAAAACTAGTTTATTTTTCAAAAAAAATAAAAATAAATTGATTAAATCACTAAATTGAAAAAACAGCCATATGAAAGCCAACATTACTGTTAATGCTTCCAACTACCGGGAAAATACAAAGGCATATCTAATGACCGTAATAAATTCTAATTAACCAAATGCGCACACCATTAGTGGTTAAAACATCAACTATTAATTACAAGAAATTATGTGATAGGCTCATTTGGGTCTGCACTATTTTGACCCTGGTTGGGTTTATGCATCCTAAGACTTTTCCTTGCAGAAAGCAACCTTGAACTAAATTCTCCATACTGACTTCCAATTGGTTTTCCAGCTTTTACCTCTTCTGATTGGTCAGAATCAGGTTTCTGAGACTCTGGGAAAAATCCAATTTTTTGCGTGTGGTTTGGTTACTGCCTTAATCCTTACTTACCATCTTTATCAAAAACATCATCATCTTCCTTCAGTGCATGCTGTTTTGGCAATCTTTCCAAAACCTGCCCCAAATGCTTCTCAAACTTCGCCAAATCTTTCACTTCATCGAAACTAGTGTGTGGAGCTCTCAACCGATCTTTTTCTGTTTTAGCCAGCAGAGTTCTGAGCAAATAGCAGAACGAAGCATCCATAACATCCTCCCAAGCCTAAATAGAGGACATAATATAGACTTCATAATAGGCAAATATGCAGTCTCTTTTTTACCTGTATATCTAAATCCTTCACATTGGTGCAAAACAGCGAACTAATCATGCTCATCAAATCCTTATCAACGTGAAGTAAATCGATCAACTGTTTTGCCAAATATAAGGCGCAAGCCAAATCGCTTTGAGCTTTCGCCAGATTCTCCAGCTCGCATTCCAATTTGTCGGTAATTTCCGATATATCTGTGTAAGTGTCTCCTAGCAAGAGCTCTAAAGGCTTTAAGGAGATCGGGTTTTTAGCTCTATATTTGGCGATAAGGCGCTTTTGAATCAATCGAAACTGAGCCGTTAGCTGGCACAAATTTTCCTGCAAAAATCCTGCAAAATTGAGGCTTTTCCAGTCGTTAGTGGTGTTTGCACTTACCTGTAATTCTTTCACTCGACTCTTTGCAATAAAGTGCTCGTTAGCGTAATTGAAGATGTCACTGGCCGGTAAAGGTGAACTGAAAAAAACCTTGCAGTCTGGCCCACAGTTCTTTTTTAAACGAGCTAGAAGAAGTTCGATCAAAACGGGCAGCATGGTTACGGTATCGGATTGCAAACGGTATTTCTCTGAATGTTTTGCAACGAGAATTGTGGCTCTGTTCCCAGAGGCCCCTTTAAACCCTATGGCATTGGGCGATGCCTGACTATCACAGTATTCTGAAACAATTTCAATCTAGTCCAAATTCGGGAAGTTTTTGATAAAAAACACCTTCAAATAAACTAGCTAACGCCCTAGGAGGTTGATCGGTGGTCAGAGTGATTTTATGCTTATTCTCCTTTTCGGCACCAGCAGCCTCTAAAATTAAGCTACTGGGCAGCAGAGTGAACCGAGTTAAAGCTCGAGGAACTCCAAAAGTATTGATCACAGAAACTTTGACTTCTACAATTAAAGAAGGCACATCTTGCGCTTCATCTAGAAACGCATGGCTGCAAACCCGGGCGGTTTCGCATAAATTGCTAAAATATATTAGGCTTGAGCAAACACCACACTTAATGCTTGTTCGTACCTAAAAAAGTGTATACTGGGCACCACTTTCAATGGACGTTGGACCAAAATTGTTACTTGCACTTCTTGAAACGACGCCTGAGGCACAATGGTAATTTTGAGGCCGCACATGTAGTTGCTGGCCGCATTTTTAATGTTATGCTGAAATGTGCAGACTACGATTTCTGAATCCACTGCAATGGTTACATCCAGGTCTTTTTCGATGTTATTTTGGATTGTTGCATCTAAAGGAAATTCGCATTGATTTTT